AAATTAGCATACATTGCATTGTTCAGAAAATGCTTATAAGTATCATCATAAATTAACAAATTAATAAATCTTACAAACATACCAAAAAAAAAAGTGTCAGATTCTTTAAGTTCTAAATTATTATTATTATTATTATTTTGGTTCATTCAAAAAATAAAAAGCTAAGACATTAAAACTGTGCTAGTTTTTAATTTGTTCTCTTCTTTTCAATAAGTTTAAAAACACGTGATGGACTCTTCACACTTTTTTCAATTTACTCGACAAATAATACTTCATACAATTACAATGAGGTGAACTTTTAAGAAAATTAAAAGCAACATTTGCTACATCTAACTAAACAAGAGAATTTAATCACTTGTAGTTTTTCTTTAATAATAAATCCATATTTAAGTATTTGAATAAATACATCTATAAATATAACCATTTTATGAGAGTATGTCTATTCTGCTGCTACCCTATATATATATATATATATATATAAACAAATATACAAATATAAAAGTTTTGCAAAAATAAGAAACAATACATATATATTAGAAAAAAATCAAAATCAAAATCAATGCAACTCTACGACACAAGAACAGAATCATACACAATTGCAAATAAAAAGGTACGATTGAAAGGATTAGACCAGTCAGAAGTAGTGGATTACACATATTCCTGTGACCTACAAATAAAATTGGATTCTAGTATAGAATTTGACTCTTTTAACAAAAAAAAAAACATGTCATATTTTTTCTAATGATGAAAAATGTATGGCGTCTACAAGCCAAGAACACTATCTAATGTTAAACCCCTTTGAATAAAATATAATGAATAAAACGTGAAAAAGAAAAACCCTCTTTAGTAAAATACAATTTCTGGTTGTTTTTGCTACATTTTAAAACGATTGTTTTATAAAAATATTTTGTAATCAAATTCCAAAAGAAATGCATTCCTTTAAAACATTAGAAACATAGAAAACAAGTCAGAATTTAAAACACTTGTGCACAATAATGTAGCAAAATTTAAAGGTACGTATTGAATACGCCAATTATGTAATTTCGTTCATTTTAAGATGTGCCAAAACATCACAATCACCCAAAAGTTTCTTTGCGAAGAGGAAGGACAATGTCATGTTTTGGTCCATTCAAATATTGTATTAATTTAGACTCTGACATTAATAAGACCTACAACTTCTTCAACAATATTTTTTTCAAGCTGATTATTATTCTTGAATTATATTTATTTGTTGATTTTATTTTGATTTTCATCTGCAGTGTTTTATTTTACCAATTGTGTCTCTTGTAATGGTGATGTACTTCATCTCAAGCTTTCTTTGGTAAGCCGTTTTATCTTTTATGAACATGGACTTTTATTCTTATGCACGAATGTAACAATTTAGGGAAAATCAAGCTAAATAAATGATTTGCAAAGTAAAAAAATACAGCCACACAAGAATTAAAGTATAGCAATTCACTCTAAATAAACAACAAGATTTTTTGTTATAAAAATAAGAAATATGTTGAAGAATAGATATATTCTTGAAGAATTTATTGGTCATGTTTGCAACAATTATCAAAATTTAAATTTTTTCAGATTATAATTTTAACTCGGGTCTTTATTTGTTTAAAATTTCCTCTGGTGCATGAACTCAATTATTTAAACCCCTTTTCTTCCAAAGTCAAATAAATTTTGCAAATAATAAGTTGCATTATTTATTTTTGGGTGCTTTAGAATTGACACAATATGGAATGACCAATGTGGTAAAGTTAAATAAACCATAAAAAATGAAATAATATAGAATGAACCAACATAGATGGAAAAATAGAAAAAACATGAGACTTTAATATTTGATGTTGTTAAAGTGAATCAAAATATGTGTGATAACATGGATGTTAATCTTTTCCAACATACAAGCTATGTTTTCGTACATATGTAGGATATAATGATGTTCATAATGTTCCATCATTTTCACAACAAGTAACAAATCAAATGCCATCATTATTGTTATTACACATGTTTTACATTTTCTAAACATTTAATTCACAAATTTATTATCCAATAATAAACAAAATACAAATTTTAATATCTTTTTCATTGAATACATTTGTAAGTAGTATGGGCAGAAATTGAATATTTAGTAGAAATTTTAAAAGGTCCTGGGAAATATTCAATTTAGAGGTTTGAGGAAAAATGATGAAATTGAATATATATATATATATATATATATATATAGTACTATTTACGTGCATGGCATAAAATATAGAATTATTCTCTGGAATTTCCCTTGAACCCAACATATTTAATTCTTTAATTGGTTGAAATTGAAAAGCTTTTATATCTCAACTAATCAATCAAAAGTTGTTGCTTGCATTTTGTCCCCTGAGTACAAAACCCCCCCTAATCCTTCCTTCCTTCTTTCCTTCCTTGCTTGCTTAATTAAGCTAATCCAAAAAACAAAGTACCAGAATAGATCCAAGACTAACCCGGAGACAAACATGGAAAAGGGCCCTCAAAACAATCCATCCAGGTCAACTTGTGATCATTTATGCACATCAATCAAGCCCATGTACAGAGTGGCGCAAAATACAGCAGCAGCAGCAGCCATGCAGAGTAGAGCAGGAGAAGGAGAAGGAGCAGAGAGCACAGTTGTTGTTGTTACCACTCACGTAGCAGCAGCGTCACTTTGAAGCGTTACGACACCGAAATATCTACACAAACACACACTCACACTCACCGCACTGCGTCATCATCATCGTCGTGTGCGCACGAATCAATGGAAGAGATCGGCGCTAGATTCGACGTGCTAATGGGGCCGGAATGGTGGACGACCCCGAGGATGTTCTATAGATCTGCATGCATAGATTTGGGTCCGTTGGGTTTTTGGGAAAAAGAAGAAGAAGAAGGAAAAGACAAAAAGAAAACATTCAGTTTGTTGCAGAGCCGTCGACGCGGCGCAAGGACTGTCAGTATTTGTGTCTGTATGTCTAGTTTTCTTTTTATCTGTCTGTTAGAAGTTGAACAATACCCATCGTGTTCCAGCTCCATACATGGGTTCATGTCGTAAGGGGCTGATCGATTCTTCACTGCCTTGCAGACGTTGCGCATTACTGATGGATATGGGAGATCGATCGATCGATGTCCATGGGACCGGATGTGTTTGTGTATATGTAAATACAAACACATATATATATATATATATATATATGCGCCGCACGAGTGCTACGATCCCAGTACTTTGTAACCGACACACAGTTGGGTTCTAGTATACGAGAATGTGACGTATCTATCTAGGTTGCTGTTGTCGATGATTACTGGTCAGTCAGGTTTTGTGATTCATTTCGCGCAGAATTAAAAACAACCTCGTCATTGTCGTCGTTTCAGTATCGTCGCTGTCGTGATTCCAGTGCTGTAAGACTGTGGGTGTATTGTGGAACGAGGACTGGACTGGTGTGCTACGTATCCGTAGCTGGAAGGTTTGTGGGGACTGCAGACATTGGTTCAAGCATTTGTGATATTATTATTCAACTCAGGGTGTGAGTGAAATAGTCCTTGAATGCGACAAAGCTGGGCTCATTTTGAGGCGTGGGATAGATCTGATTTAGTACTGTTTTGTTAAATTGTTGCCATTAAGCTTTACAGAATATGACTGTTGCTTTGGCCTTTGACATTGGCTGTGCGGGAATGATTCGAGCCGTTCGAAGATCTTTGGAACGAATAAACTCCCAGTCTTTGAGTATGTTGAATGTGAACGAAAATCATGAACAAAATTTTCAAATTTCAATTGCATATTCTAGTTATTTAAGCTGTATTTTATTTTTTTACAATATTTTTCGGACATGTTTAATATGTATTTACTTTAAGGAATATTACGAAGTAAAACTTCTTGAAAAATATAACCTTGTTGTGCAAAGAAAAATAATAATATGGCATCTATAATTCAGTATGTATAGAACTTTGTAATAACTTTTTCTTTGTTTTCTTTTCATCAAATTCTGATTACGCTGAAGATGTATATTTTTACATGGTAAAATTTGAGGGACTCTACCATCCAAATCCTTTTTTTTTTCTTTTTTCTTTTTTCTTTCTTCTGTTTTCTTTTCTTCTTTTTTTTTCTTTACAAACACCTACAAGTAATTGATTGAAATGGTAAACGTAATGTAGACTTCAAACACCCACTCTAAAATTCTTCATCACACAACAAAAACGACTAAAATAGTGACATTAACTAACATTCATTTGCTAAAACCTCCCAATTATTCAATAAATCAAAATTCTAAGTTTTACAACTATAATACTGAAACATGTTTGTTGATGCAGATAAAAGTACTAATCTTACTGCCCTAATACCCTGCCAACTGAACACAAGTAGCATCGAGTTCTAAATCATTAATGTCACAAGATATCTGATACATTACTCAGCTTTCAGCAAATACCTTTTGCTGTATTGGATGGTAGTGAGAAAACAGTTCAGCAACTTCAATCCAACTAGTTCATAGTGGCAATAAATTAGTTCAAATCTCTAAAGAGATCATTTGGTAAAAATTCAGCATGTAAGTTTGTAATAGTTTGTAACTTATCAGCATCAACAATCGAAAACAATAAAAGTGGAATGTTTGCAGTAGACGACGCAGAAACTAAAGGAGGCGGACTAGCCCTTGCGCCAGGCAATTTTTGACCAGCTAGATGATTTTTTTATTATATTCCAGAACCATAAGAATTGAGAGACTCTGGTCGGTGTGACAAAGGCCATTTAGAACAAATACCTGCGGTAAAAATCAGCTGGAGGAACTGATTGAGCACAGCGCTCATTGCTTCCTAATTGTAAAAAAGCGGACATCCTCCACAAACCAATGTTGAGTTCGAAGTAAATCTAATGTTGATTTGTATCCACAAGGAAACATGATTGACTTACAGTACGGGAGTATGCCACGATGTGGACAGACCACTCAGCCAATTTTCACGGAACCATCATTCACAAATTGGATAAACCACACAAAGTAATGAAGCTACAGAGATGGTACATAAAGAGGTGAACTCCCATATTGGAGTGTGGTTAACCTTGACATCATAAATAAAAGATCGATTAGAAAACCGTTCCAGAGGTCTAATTATTATGAAGTGATATGTAGTGTTAACAGCAGCATTGACAGTCACTGAAGCATCTTCTGAAGTCCACTTCTTAGCCACCAACCTAAAAACTATGATCCTGGCACCAGCTTGCCATTTATTGAAGTCGCCAACACCACCTCCGGGTTCCAAGCCGGTGGGAACCTGCACAAGGGGAATTTTTTAAGATATTTGACATCATAAATACAGTATCGATCGATTTTCTAAGACATTTAACAGCATCGATGCAGTGTTAACTGCTTGCAAAGTATTTGTTTGGAAAAAGTAACGTAAAACGTAGAGCAATACATGAATCCATACTCAGCACCAGAACAAGTTCTTTGTAAGAATATTAGTGACTGCTCACCTCCTAAGCGAGCTCCTTCACTCATCTCAACGAGTTTATAAAGCCACCATGCGCAATATTTTTTTCCGCATAACATGAATTCCAGAACCCGTCACCATCTTGCCTTCAATCACAACACAGCCACTTGCTTTACGACTTCCAGCCTCAAAGACGGCACTTACTGCGGCCTCACCAATTAGCACCCCCTCCTGCAATGTAGGTACAACAAAAGTTGATAAGAATCCAAAATCCGGGAAACTGAACTAGTGCAGATATCAGCATGAGGCTCTCCACAAAAACTTCTTTCGACAAAAAATGCCCAATTAAACTTAGCTTGCATGTCTGAACCGAGTCATCACATAACTTTCTGCGCGTTCAAGAGCAACACCTTGATATGTTTCACTCATTAACATTAACAAAGCTCAATCATTCTAAACCAACAGGTTTATCTTGTTTGCAATTCACAGCATGCAACCATAATGGCCTAGGATTGGGCTCATTTCGACCACGTCCCCATGGGCTATATACTAGGTTGTATGCTACACATGAGTGACCATACGGAACTGAGTTCATGTAAAACAATGGAGGAACCAAGTTTTTACCTCTACATCTTCTAGCAGCCCTTCCATGGCATGGCTTCTCGAATGCCATCTACAAGACCACAAATATCACGATGAAATCGTATTTCCACTCCTTCAGCATCTACCTGCGGCTGTACATCAACTTTGAATCCTTCATTCATTTGCTAAACCTAGTTGGACGCACAACTTCAGCATGCTCTTGTGCCCTACTTTTTGCTACATCCAGAGAGTAAACAATATCGAACTCGTCACCTGCCAACAGTACTACACTTAAACCCAAAAGACATTCAGAATTCATTAACAGCTTAGCACCACGTGTCCAAAAGACACAATGGCAAACGTCGAAAATTGTTCAGCACAATTTCTGGTACATGGACGTTAACAACATAGGAAATCAACTGCACAGCTGCAGAAGGGCCTGCTCCATCCGCCGGGTGTCAGTTTAATGCATCAAGATACGAACCTGCAGTTCCACAATATATGCTAGTTATCTATTACTTTCAACTACCCGAGGCCAAAGGCACTCACAATCCAACTCCAAAATGAGTGCTTCATTCAAAAACTAGCGAGAGGAATTACAACTGCGGTGGCGACACTCAAATTCCAGAACTGCTAACTTTGCCACACCTCACGCTAAGTACAAGCAAGTAAACATCCACACAAAAAATGGAACTGAAGTACCACAACATAAATCACTATTGTCACTATTAAGACTCGTTTGGTATTGGAGACATCAGAGAGGTTCGATTTCGAGTGATTTCTGCGCAAGCAAGTTCGACACGTGACACTCTAAAAAAAAAGAATTTGGGACAGCATACCTTTACATGTGCCTCACCACAAAGCACAAAGTCTTCCTTGAGAAGGGTGCCATTTTGAACCGGTAATGTGGCGAGTGGACCTCTGGCATTGTCCAAACTTGCGTTAACAACAGTTCCCTTGGCCTCTCTGTCGGGATTGGCTTTCAGCCCTTGTAGCTGCACATACTCAACGATAGAAAAACGAATATTGCAGTACATTGTATTATGTGATCTCCCTTTCGGACAAATACGCCAAAAAATTAATTCATCGTCTGCTAGTTGATCGCATTAAACACCAGCGCCGGTTTCATACACCGATAAAGTCCCAATGTGAACAAGACTTTTTGTTTCTTATACTCAGATTGAGACATAAAAATACAAGGTTACAACTAGGTGTAGGGTTTTTCATCCGGACTACCAAAGAAGTAGAAGTCGTCAAATCAACATAGTTCACAAAATGTCGATGGTTAAATTGCAGTCCTCCAGTAAACAACCCAAAAGCACCAAAGTTCACCGAGGAGTAAGGAGAAGTTACCTCTGCTACCAGCACAATGTTTTCTAGCAGCGAATCAATTCCTGTTCCCCTTTTCGCACCAACCTAGGGACAAAAACCACTTCGTTTATGAGAATATAACTGCGTAAATGACCCTTTCTTTCACTTCTGTTACCTGTGAACTGAAATGTTCCATGATCTTCCGGGAGAAACTTATCATCTTCAGAAGCAGGGGCACTTTTAACATCACTAAAGTATGGAAGAAACTCACCTTCACCACAGGAATACAACCTTCCCGTTCTTGAGGTATCAAGCCATCAGAAGAGTGATTTTGCATCCCAACATCTGGATTTGCTCTAGCCTCGACAAATGTTGAAAATCTTAAAGACCTGAGAATGTGATGATAAAAAACACAAAGCAGATTAAAAAAATTAAAAAAATATATTAAAAAATTAAAAAACTTACCTCGTGACCGGAGGCCGAGACTCGAGGTGATCGATTTCACCATCATCAATGAATTTATTTGAAGCTAGAACATGAGTTTGTGCACAACTTCTGTAGATAACATCGCTCTAGCTAAATCGATCTGACCGCGTCAACGATAAACCCGAGATGACAAGTAGAAATGCACGAATGCAAAGTTTAGTAAGCACATTCGAGAATAACATTCAAAACGGAAACCAATTATTGCTTCGATAATACAGCATACACTCGTCGACAAGTGGTGTCACTACTGTGTCACGCCCCCCAAAAAAATCATGCGTTACTACAGACCATACTATTAACGATTTCTATTCGGCCTGGTCCTTCAACCGGAATTCAAAATATTGAGGAATGAAACAAGAGCTCTTTCTCTCCTGGTAACTAAGATGTGATTAATCTCGTCTGCTTATTATAGGCTCGTTCATGCCTCACCCGTAACACTCTAGGCCAAACAAACATTCTAGGAACAATTCAATCGAACTTCATTCGATAAGTTCCTAAAACAATGATTTCAAGCGGATTGATTTGCGACTAGCGCTCTAAGAACATACTAATCCTTTCAAATCAGAACCAGTGAACATAAAACCATTCACGTCTATCTCGTCAAAATGTTGCACAAGCTCAGTCACATAACGTATTACGCGGCAAGCTATCGTTCGGAGAATCAATGAACGTATTTAGTACAGATCTCTGTTCTCAGACAAGCCACAGAAAAGAGTGGACGTTATCACCGCTAGAATTTTCCCTCTGTTGCAGGCTAAGAAAAAGGGCTTCGGCAGTTCAGCAGGGCCAATGGTAGCGGGGAAATACACAGGGGTTGTTCTAAGAGATTGCCCTGCAGGAGCCAGCTTCACCTGGTCTTAACGATTCCACATCCTTCACTACAGGAACTATTTTTTAGTTTTTTTAGTTATTTTAGTTGTACCATATCTCAGTACTAGTCCTGCTGCTCCCAAATCTTTCATTAGGTCTCGTCGAAGTACAACGAAGGAAGGCCTTGCAGTCAATTTGACGAGACTATTCAACCACATACGAGGTCGTAGAGTTCGTGAATATTTCAGAATACGTCCACACTGTGTGCAGCTGTACTCGTAACCATCTCCATGAACTACCCTACCATCACAAGCCTCCACCAATACAGACGACTCAAGGACACAATGAAGAGCACGAGCAAGACCCCGGCAGGCTAACAACAACAATCGTCTCTCTCACCTTTGCTCCCGCTGATGATGCAGACCACGACAAAGTGTGACTTCGCCATCGCCGTGCGATCTCACCAAATTACGACCTCCTCCTCAACGATGGCTTTGCCTCAATCTCCATTGCACCAAGAGACTCCGAAGCAAAGCACATCCCACACATATTCTTCCAACTCTCTCGCTCTCTCTCTCCCTCTCTCTCTCCCTTCCACGCACTACTGCCGATACGCCGCTCTTGTTGCAACTCCATTGTTCGATGCTCCAAAAACTCTGACCTCAAAAACGAAAGCAGCCGCTTCTCTCGTTCTCTCTCTCGTTCTATTTCTCTCACACACACACAGATTCACAGCCATGGAGCTGGAGAACCTCGCAATTCAGAAGCAAATTGTCGCGGGCATGATCAAAATACTACCAACGTGGGCTTATGTTCGTGTTTTCTGACAAAAAAAGTTGCAAAAAAAGGCTGTGGTTTCCTTTGTGAAGGATGCTTATCCAATTTTGAAGCATGAGGTGTGTCTCATGTTAGTGTTTCCTTTGTACAAGAAGAGAGGTGAAAAAGTGATGTTTGTTAGTTCCTCTTGCTTTTAGGGTTTAGGGTTTTTATATATGTTGTTGTTGTTGGGTTTGTTGATGGATACAATCTTGGATGACTTTGGATTGTTTCAAATTGTAATGAGGAAATAATTATGTATTTCAATTTTTGAAATTTTAGCAGTTTGGAAAAGAATCATTTGGTGTTGAGTGATTTCTAGGCAAACACATACAGCGTTTGTTGGTTTTTATTTAGCAAAGCCATTTAAACCAAAATCCATCAAGATATAAAATAGAAAAGAAAAAAGGTATACAAATTATCTTTACTTTTGGATTAATTTTATAGATTATAAAAATAACAATCATTTTTTAATTTTAATATTTTTAAACATGAAAATACAATATTTTTTCTTTTATATATATATATATATATATATATATACATATCCAAACCTATGTACATATGTATAAAAGAATCAAAAAAATTGTATTGGTTTTGAAAATAAAAATATTATAAGTCTATTTATGTATTATATTTGGAAATTTATTCAAAGGGTAATTTTTTAATCCAACATCTTTATTTTAAAATAATCTATTTTTAATAATCAAATGTAGAAATCATCATAATTAAACTTGATTATAATTTATTAAATTAAATAGATACTACAAAAATAGTTTATAAGTTAAATGCTTAACATATATCTAAAATACATATATCATCATACATAATTACTATCTTATTTCCTATTTTATTTGCATTCTTATTTACTCTCTTATCTATATATTTTAAGCACATAGCACTTTTTAGACCAAAATCTACCATCAATTACATAACTTTTAGTTACTATTATATTGAGGCCAAAGAAAGTGACCATATAAAATAAAGAAATGAATAAGTATTCACCGTAAGAAATCATAAATTTATTTATGTGTTGATTTATGAAAAAAATTAATGAACAAAATCTGATTAATTATTTAGATTTAGTTTTTTTTTATGTTCTTTATAAAATTTTAGGAAATTTCATATTTGATGTGTAAAAAAAGAAAAAAGTACACAAACAAACAAGGCTTGTATTAAAGTCTTCTAAAAGCCCATTTAATATAATGTGTCTGTAATATACATGCAACTACTTTATTTTTATAACAAAGATAACTTTATTTTCTAACCTTCAATCAACATTTTTATGTTGATTTACTTTGATTTTTTTTTTCTCTCAATATGATTATAAAAATAAAATAAATAAAAATATGTGTATGACTATATATATATATATATATATATATATATATAAGAATATATACATATAAATTCTTTTGTGTATCCAAAACCTAAGTTGATAAAATACATAAGAGACTAAAGATTAAGTTGGTAAAATCTTAAAATCAATAATGTCACATTACTCACAATCAGTTATTGAATTAAAAAAAAAATACATTTTGAGTTGTATTATTAATTTTATGCAACATCTAATATATTATTATTTATAAAAATTTAAAAGTAAAAAATCACAAAAACTACTTAGCTATTTTTTAGAAAACTGAATTTTTGCTATAATAGAAAAAAATGTTACTTCAATTATATTATTTTTAAGTGGCATCTATCTTAGTGATAATATTGATAAATTAAGAACACATACTAATTTTTATTTCAAAAAATATAATAAATTAAAATTTAAAAAATAAATGCATTGGTATTTAATGATATTTAATAAGACAAGAGAAATTAAATTATTGTCAAAATTAATGTATTATCTTTTTTTATCATTTATTATTATACAAGTATTTTTTTAAATCAATATAAATATCCATAATTATAGATATTTATATTGGAATGGTAATAAAACTAGAATCTAAATCAAGATAGTGAGCTTTTTATATTGTAATTTTTTAAAAAAAATTAAGATTTTACAATATTCATCATTAAACTAAAATAATTATTTTACTTATCAAATAGATTATAATATCACTTTAGCATGTAGATTTTAATATATAGTTGAATCTCCAGTAATTAATACAATTTGTTGTAAATATTGATATTAATTACCTAAGTCTATTAAATTTTAAAACTTATCTTCTCCCCTTTCTCCAAACACAACTTCTTTTTCTTTTCCTTCTAATAATGTTTTTCTTCCTCTTCAACAATGTCTATTCTCGTTTCAATTTCACAATTTATGTAATTTTTGTCAATACCAGACTTCTTTTCTTGTTCTTCCGAAACACAACTTCTCATCTCTCTATTAATGCACAATTTCTTTTCTTTTCTTTTCTTTCTTCAATTTCTCTCCTTCATCTTAAAAACTTCCCCCCTAGGTCTCAAAAACTTCTCTTATCTTCATGGGAGACAACTTGGCCAAATAGATAAAATAAAAAACTATCTTGTTTAAAGTTTTGTCTCTAGGCATCTACAATATTTCAAATAAAAAATAATAATTATGAAAATATGAAATATGCCATATTTATTGAAAAACTAGCTTGCATAACTGCTTTTTTCAAATTAGACGTTGCTCATGCAAACTAGATACTTTAATGTTAAGCTAATTAGATAGCCATTTTAAATAATTTGATAAAAAAACAGATGCACAAACATTCAACTAGTTTAATATTAAATTTTCAAAATTTCAAAGTTGACACAAACTGAAAGGAATGAAGTTGCATGGTGAAAGTGGTTTTCATAATAGTATGTCCATTGAACTTGAGTTGCTTACACTACGAGCAAATGTCGCATAGTATCCACAGTGGGTCCTTCCAGCTTTGCTCCTCCTAATTAGTGGCAGAGTTCAAGGTCTCAAAGCCAGTCCACAAGACGCCGTCAATCTTACCCCCAAACATTGGATGCATTTCATACCTGCTGCTGTGTTGCTGGTCTCGTTCCACTTCTGGAAAAAACACCCATCCAGTTTCCTTTTTGTGTCCAAAGCTTGGGATGCCATGTTGGTCTTTCCTCAAATGGAGACTCCCAACGGCACGACCATTTACTCAACATTTTAAAGACGCTCTGCCAATTTTGGAGGATTCCGCGGTCTGATTCCACGTGCACAACACAGCCAGGAAAAATGATACCAGCCTCGTCGTCGTCGCGTCTTTTGTTTTACGTTTTGCTCCATGTCGCCACACCCCCCCCCCCCCCCCCCAGTTATGAAAATATATTTAGATTATTCCCTGCTGCCATCGATATCAAAGCTCAATCTGAACATCGTTAGAATCTTGCGACCTCGTAGCATGCCATATCTGGTGCAGCATTTATTGCACGCAGTTTCACATCGTTCCTGAGGCTTGCAACACCATCGTGCTCACGTCATGCAATGGAACCATCGCCGCAAGCAACCAAATAATTAAATAGCGCTGAGTTTTGACAAGCACGATACCAAAGACTGCTAAAGAATTTTCAGCAAGGGTTGACAAACAACGCTGCTGCATTTAGCATATTCCATGTGGTTATTGAGAAAGTTGTACTGTTGAGGGATGTGGTTGAGACCATGCAACACCAACACCTATCTCGACAGTACCTCTGGCAATGGTCACAAACATCGTAAATTAAGATCCGATGACGGTTTAGACGCTCAGATTTCTCTGAAAGTCTGAAATACACAATCGTACATGAAGATCCTCACATACTTCCAGCCTCTTTGGAAAGAGAATCTGCGAACAAGTTTATTTTTCGGCCACCTTCTCACGAACTTCATTCGCCTTATCTTACACGTTCTTCTTGACCACCTTCGTGGCTTTCTCGGTCTTCTCCTTCAGCTCCTCAATGGCCTCTCTCAACTTCTTCCGCACTTCTGGTTTGACGGTGCGCGCTTCAGCGGAGCGTGCAGACAGCAAGAGGAAGAGTCCATCAACCGCAACGCCTCCAGCGAGGACCATTGATTTGCGCCTGGAGCAATTTCCCTCTGATGATACCCTGACCTTCAATTCTCCATTCGACGCCTGCAGAGAAATTTAAGGGTTTCATATACGGGTTTTAACGGCTGCCACTCTGGTGTAGTGTGCATGACATGATCAGAACAACAGAGAGCTCCGCTGTTTTTCAGAGAGGATTCTTTCAATCATTCAGCCGGCCTCTTCAATTACAGCCACTGATGCAAACACAGCCTCACAACGACACGCCCCTAATTCTTCATCGTCGCACAGCTGTCAAATCTCACAGAAGAAGCTCCAATTTCTTGAGAGCGACTGTACATAGGAACAAGTATTGGCTAATTGGATTTTAGAACTCCAATGCAATCAGTACTGTAAGACTTCGCACAATTACTCTAACAAACTGCTGAGGAGGTTCTGCAGTCAAACGGGCGTTCAATTGCAAATCAAAAGGGCAATCTAAAGTACACGAACCACAAGGTTAAAACCTTATACAGCGTCGTTTCTGGACAAACCATCCATGACCTGAGAATTACGCCAAAAGCAAAACCGAGACGATCAAACAAAGAAGAACTAAGACACCATTGAAGTCCACTTATGCATAGGGAGGTGCAATTCCACGCCACTGAAATCAAAATTCCTTAATAATTCCCGTAAGAAAGAAGAAACACTCTCAAGGCAAGTGAAAAAAACATTAAGAGGAAGACGGATACCTGTCGGACTGGGACGGCTGAAATGGCAGATCTGAGGGTGAGCGATGAAGCCTGGGGAGTCCATGAAAACGCCGAAGAGAGAGGCCTCGAAGCGCTGATAGGTGCGACCCGCGCGCTGGCCATTGCTAACGAAGAAGACATGGTTTCGGACGCACCGATGAGAGATATGGAGGGCGTTGGTGGATTTCGAAAGCACAGGGGGCAAGCTGCTGCTTCGACCTGCGACGCAACACACATACACTTACACACGCCGGGGCATCCACAGGAAAGCCCTGCCCCGTCGACGAATGTAACTCGCCACGGTCGATGAATGAAGATATACGTCCATCCAAATATGTGAAAATCAGGATCAAGCTTGGTGAGAAAATCCGTGCGGAACTGGCGTGTGGACAAGACTCAAGGGGTGTGTAGTGTATGGTGCATTATGAGATTCTGAAATTATCCAGGCACCTTTTTATATTTTGTTTTCTCTGGAATGGGGCATCTCCGGGATACGGCTAGTTGAGCTACATGAGGTTTTTGCACCGTTTTTTGTTCACCAAGCCATTCTCTGTCTTGCAATTCAAAACAGTTGTATGGGAAGATTTGTGATTTTCATTTTAAATGGCATAGTCAATAATGTTATCTTACTTCCTTCGTATCTTGCAAATAAATCAACTAGTAAGGTGGTCTTGCCTACAAGAGAAAGTAATGTGGATATTTTAGCCATTCATGGCATTGATTAATGTAGCATCACTTATCTCCTTCCATAACAAAAATAAAGGCAGAATTAATTGATGAAGTGGAATGATCAATGTAAATGAATAGTGACAAAGTGAAGGCATCACTACACACAATTAGTGCATGGTATGAGGTAGTACCACCCTCAGAATATGGATAAAAAATTAAAAATCGAAATATTAATAACTTGCATGTTTTACTTACAGCCTAGCTAATTGTGTTCAAAGATGAAGGTTATATACAGTGACAAACAAAACCGAGTACAAAATCTGAAGTGCCAACTTTCAAGAGCAATTACAGAAATTTCAATGATTGCTTTATAAATCTGAAAGTTACATGGAATAATACACACAGTCTTGTACACATGTACAAAGTTGCACATCAAATTGATAACTAAACATCCTTCTACAAAGTCAAATCAACAACTATGTCTTGTACTCAGTATTGTTCAAAGAAAATCTTCAAACTTCAATATTTAGTCCAATAACCTTTTGCTTCTAAAACAGCTGAAATCCTTCTTGGCATACTTTTGTATAGTTTCTCACAATCTTTTGCATCAAAACTAGGGTAAATACTACAAACATTCTCCCACAATTCTTGAACACCTCTTGGCCTTGGAGTGACTTGGCTTAAACGCTGTTTGAAAAGGGCCCAAAAATGTTCCATTGGATTCAAATCTGGAAATTGAGCTGGCCATCGAAGGAGCTGAAATGGCTGTGAAGAGAGCCAAAATTGAACACTTTTTGCCATATGTTTGGGATCATTATCATGTTGAAAAACCACCTTAGTAGGATCTAAGTTGTAATTCTGTGTGGTACTTTGCAAGTAGGTTTCTAAATTTTTTTTGTACAAGTGTTGCTCCATTCTACCTTCAATTTGATACCAAGCACCCGGCCCAAAAGCAGTCATACAACTCCAAATCATAATTGAACCACCACCATGTTTGACAATTTGACTAACATGTTTAGCTCCAGGTCGTTCTCCTTCTCTCAACCAACACCAAGACCTACCATCTGAGTTAATTAGGTTAATCTTTGTCTCATCACTGAAAATAACCCGTTTCCAATCATCAACGGTCCAATTTTTGTATTTATGAGCAAAACTCAACCTTGGAAGAACATGTCTTTTGGCAAGTAGAGGCTTCTTTTGTTGTACACAAGCATCCAAATCAGCTTCTCTCAAACCACGCTGTTAGGGACATATTCCTTAGAACTTTCTATAGAGAAGTTTCTAGAACCTTCTAGAAAACAAGCCTCTGGAACCTTCTAGAAGAGAAGCCTCTGGAACCTTTTAGAGAAAAGTTTCTAGAAGCTTCTAGAAAGAAAGCCTCTGGAACTTTCTAGAAGCTTCCTAGATAATAAAAGTAGCTCGAGAAGCTTCCTAAGTAAGAGTATATATAGGGATCAAGGCTGAAGAGTTCTTCAGTCTTGACAACACATCTCTTGGAGTTCTAGCTCACCTTTCTGGTGTTGTTCTTGTACTCATCTGTTTAATCTAGTTCTGCCACTTCTTCTTGAACTTCTTGTTAGATTTCAAGTCTGTATTTTGTGTCCGTGACAGTTTGTCGAGACTGCACTAACTTGAGATATCAGAGCTAGTTCTTTCTTAGTAGAGTGTGGATTACCCCTCTACTTGAAGGTATACTAGCATTTCTTAGAGGTTGCGGATTACCCTCCTCTAAACTGATACTTCTCCTGTGACAATATTGGAGTCTTATTCTTCTTGGAGAGAGTGGATTACCCCTCTTCTTGAAATTCTTAAGGCGTTTTATAGGTTGTGGATTATCCTCCTATAAACCAATATTGCCTCTTGTAGAGTCATTTTTGTCCTTCTTTTAGAATGGCCGGAGGTCAAGACATTAGTATGATAGAAAGTTCGGAGTCTAAGTTAGATGCTATTATGAATGCCCTCGCTATGTTATCACAAAGAACTGCAGAGATTGAAGGAGTGGTGGCAAGGCTTCATAATGATGGAGTATCTGGGATAGCACAATCTAAACTACACCAGCCTCAAACTTCTGCACTTGGAGAAACAACTTTACCTCAAGTTCGACAAGAACCACTAGTTCTACAACATAAGGAGCCTCGAGTTAGCCTTCCAAATAAGTTCGATGGAACACGTTCTAAGTTTCGAGGATTCGTTAATCAAATCAGGTTGATAACAATTTTACAGTCCAAACGATATCCAATGGAGGAGTCACGTGTTGGGCTTGTTGGAACCTTACTTACGGGACAAGCTCTATCATGGTTTGCTCCTTTGTTTGAGAAACAATCATCCATATTAAACAACTTCGAAACCTTTTTGGAAGCATTTGCGGAAGCATTTGGTGAACAGGATAAGGTTCGATGGGCTACAACAAAGATCCAGTCGCTACGACAGGGGATGCGTTCTACATCAGTCTATGCTTCGGATTTCAGGCAATTAGTATGCGACATTAATTGGGATGAAGAAGCGTTGATGAGTCAATTCTATTGGGGTTTAAGAGATGATGTGAAGGATTTGCTGTTAACTCTTCCTGATCCACGAATGCTCAATGAAGCCATTAGCCAAGCTGTGAAGTGCGATAATCGCCTATTCCAACGTCGCCAAGATCAACGCTCAAGACAACATACAATTCGCCATGCTCCAACTATGTCGGCAAGCAGTGTGAATTCGCATTCAGAGGTGGAAGACATGCAAATTGATGCGGTACGTGTCAAATCTCTTACTATAGAAGAAAAAAAGTGACGTATGGAAGAAAATTTATGCTTGTATTGCGGTGGAGAAGGCCACAAAGTCGGAAACTGCCCCAAAAAGCAAAATCGAGGCATAGTCAAGACTAGGGGAGTATTTGTTCAAGAAAACGAGGATGCCCAGCCATAGTAGGAACCGTGCGGCTGGACAATGAAATATCCCAACAACAATCAGGTTCCTTTCTTTCTGCCCAACCTGCACTTTGTTTTACAATCCCTCTGTTTATCGGCCCTCAAAAATTGAGAACCTTAGCACTACTAGACTCAGGAGCATCTGCTTGTTTTTTAGACGAAGAATTTGCAAAGCGTCATAAGATCCCTTTAGTACAAAAATCAAAACCTGTTCATGTTGAGGTCATAGATGGGCGACCTTTATTGTCTAGTAGCATCACCCATGAATCAAAACCTATAGAAGTAACGTTTAAAGACCATAGTAGTCATATTATTTTTAATATTATTAGAATCCCATCAAATCCTATTATTCTTGGTCTTTCTTGGTTGAAAAAACATAATCCATTGATAGATTGGAGGTTGCGGAAGATGACTTTTCCCACAAAACCACCCAGGAAAAAACCTAGTAAAAAACCTCGAAAAAAGAAATCCTTATTCATTGGAGCAAGAGCGTTTATAAGATCATCTAAGAAAGGCACTCCATTTGTCATTTATGCGGCTCCAACTACCGAGGAGAAGATCTCAACAGCAAGTATACCGGAGCAATATAAAGATTTTGAAGACGTGTTTCAAAAGAAGAACGCCGACATACTACCGGAACACCGACCATATGATTGTGCCATAGACTTGCAAGAAGGAGCACAACCACCTTTTGGCCCAATCTACAATCTATCGCAAATGGAGTTGGCAGAGTTGCGAAAGTACATCGATGAGAATCTAGCCAAGAACTTCATTCGTCATTCAAAATCATCAGTTGGAGCACCCATCTTATTTGTGAAGAAGAAAGATGGATCATTACGGATGTGTGTGGACTATCGAGGCCTCAACAAGGTAACAAAGAAAAATTGTTACCCATTACCCTTGATTTCTAGTCTCTTAGAACAACTTGGACGTGTGAAGATCTTTACAAAAATTGATCTAAGGGGAGCTTATAATCTCGTACGAATCAAGGAAGGAGATGAGTGGAAGACAGCATTCCGTACAAGGTATGGTCCTTTCGAGTATAATGTCATGCCTTTTGGTCTTACCAATGCTCCAGCAGTTTTCCAACATATGATGAATGACATCTTTTGAGAACACCTCGATGATTTTGTTGTCATCTACTTAGACGATATTCTAATATTCTCTAAAAACGAGGAAGAGCATGAGAAGCATGTTCGTTTGGTCTTGGAGAAACTACGCAAGCGAGGACTATATGCCAAATTAGAAAAGTGTTTATTTCACCAGATGGAGATGGAGTTTTTGGGGTTCATTGCGACTATAGAAGATTTGAAGATGGACCCCAAGAAAGTAGAAGCAATCATGTCTTGGGAGGTTCCGAAGACGGTTAGAGACGTACAATGCTTTCTTGGTTTTGCTAACTTCTATTGGATCTTCATCAAGAATTATTCTCAAGTTGCTGCTCCTCTCACTCGATTAACATGCAAGGATAAGTTGGAATGGGGACCTTTGGCGGAGAAGGCGTTTCAAGAGTTGAAGACAACATTTACTACAGCTCGAATTTTAGTACATCCAGACTTTACAAAGGCCTTCTATTTAAAAACTGATGCTTCAGATTTTGCTTTGGGAGTTGTGCTTTCACAAATGAGTGAAGACAAGAAGCTCCATCCAGTTGCATTCTATTC